AGTTTGTCTTCATTTAAAGTACTAGAATATTCTTAATGTGACAATCTTATGTTTTGTTCAGATTTTTAATAGAAAGCTTATTCTCTAACAAGGAAACCCATTGTATTGTTGAAAAAAAACAACTGTAATTGTCAGGATTGACTCTTTCCATTGTCTCCTCAACATCACTAATGATAGCCCCTGTTGCTTGATGTAACAGGGAATCCATTTCTTGTGGTTACCCATTTTTGGACAGTCATAAATAATAGAAAGTTATTCCTTATTTTGAATGGAGCTCTAAAGATCTATCATTACAATTAGGTTCAAGAGTTGGGAGAGAAAGGATAAGTATGATGCTGTTAATTTCCAAGGAGGAGAAGATATTGGGTGGCCCAGCAAGAAATATACTGATTAATTTGTCCCTATGAATAGGGTGGTTTGAGAGAAGAGGCTGGCATTTGAGGAGATATCAAAAGATATGCTGTTTTCATTGGCAACTTTTAAAAATCACTGTGTATCTAAAGGAAGTCCATGTCCATATGACAGCTGTACCTTTGCACATAAAGTACATTAAAGCACTCTATACCCAAGAGAGATGGAAATGAAAAGGAAGAATAAAATCATCAGAGTGGGACGGATGGCGACAGCTGAACCAAGGATGCCAGCCCCTGAATTCACTCATTCAACAAATATTTATTTAGCATCTTCTATGCGCAGGGCCTTGTGCTTGGTGCTGTATGGTACATAGAGACATACAAGATTTGATTCATACCCTAGTGGAGCTTTATTTAGTAGAGGAAATAAGAATTGGATACAAATAATTGGAACAAGATAATGAATTAAAGTGTCAAAAGAGAGACTCAGAATGTCCAAAGAAGGTAGGTAGTTTGGGCTAAATGAATTTCATTGGTTATTTATGATAGTATAGTTGTGTTTTCTTTTTGTTAAAATATATTAAATTTGTTTGAATCTGTGCCTTTCCTTCTACTAGATGGTGAACTCCATGAGTATAAGGACTATGTCTTTTAATCTTTGTAATTTACTAATTGAGAGATAGCTGTGACATACTGGATAGGTATTTGACTTCAGAATCAAAAACACCTGGGTTCAATTGCTTCTTTGGACATATGTTAGCTGGTGACTCTATGCCACTTCTTAACTGTCCCCAGGCAGCTCTAAGTGGCAGAACAGGGGCCTTCTCCATTAGTAGAAAGAGATTTCCTCACTGGGAGTTCTGCACACGGATGAACTACAGATCTAAGCCAAAAACAAATTAAAACAAATATAATGTAATAGCTGATATTTGTATTATGTTTTATGTTTACAAAGCCATTTATATACATTATCAAATTTTGATCCTCATGACAGCCCTACTTAGTAGGTAGTGCAGATAATTAAATTCATTTTGGAGATAAGGAGACTGAGTCACAAAGGCTATGTGACTTGCCCAAAGTAACAAAATTGTTGACAGGCTTTGAATCCAGATCTTTTGACTCCAAATATTGTCTTCTTTCTGCTATAGCAAAGCTATCTCTCTTTTTAACTACCTTCTAATAGTGTATAGTTGGTACATTTTGAAGCTGGTGAAATTTTTTTACATTTTATCTTTTTCATTGGCAATTTTTTTTTTAATTTTAAATACAAAATAAGAAAATTAAAAAAAAAACCATTACCATTATACAGCAGACCATAAGAGAGGATTCACTATAAAACAATAAATTTCCATTTTAAGAAAAATCTATGTAGTAAATTGTTTTCAAAGCTATCTAGCTTTTCTTTACTTCCTTGATGGTTTTCTTTTGTTTTGTGCTGTGCTCTTTGTACTTTATTTGTTTTTCCCTTTCCTCCCCTCTACAATTAAGTGTAGATATGTATACATATATATAGATATCTATAAACATACACATATACACCCATACACATATATGTAAGACTGTACTATGCTTACTTCCTCCTATCATCTGTTTCGCTTAAGGTGAGAACTTATTCCTTCATAAGTCCAAGTCTTTCCATGTTTTTTCAACCAGCTCATCATTTCCTATACCACAGCAATATTCCAGCCCAATCACATCCTGTCTGAGAGATTATCTGTGAAAGTTTTTTTTTCACTAATTTTCTGCATTCCTTCTATTCTTGGCTACATAGGTTTCATTTATACAGGAAATTTTTAATTTAAAATAATTGAAAAAAATTAAAAATTAAAATATTAAATAAAATAAAATAAAATAATTGAAATTATCCTTTTTCTACTTCAACAATTCTCATACCTTATAACATAGTTCAAGGTCTGATACTGTTGAATCTTCTTCCTTTACATCTTTTTTCCCTGGTTTCTTTAAAGTTCCTGACCTTTTGTTCTTCCGAATGAATTTTATTACTATTTTTTCTAACTCAGTAATATAAATTTTTAGTAATTTAATTGGGATGACATTGAATAAATAGATTAGTTAGGTAAAACTGTCATTTAAAAAATTATATTGGCTTTATCTGCCCATGAAACTTCTATTATTTAGATCTGAGTTTATTTGTATGAAGTGTTTTCTGTCTACGTTCATAAAAAGTTTTTGTGTCCGTTTTGGCAGGTATGTGCTCAGGTATTTTATATTGTCTAGATATTTTAAATGCTCTAAAACAATATTGAATAATATTGTTGACACATAGTGTAGTTTCTTTATTTTTCATTTTTGATTAAATCTATTTTAACTTTAACTTTGTCTGATATTATGATTACTATCCCTGCTTTTTTTACATACTTAATCCTGCTCCTGTCCTTTATTTTATCTTTGTGTGTATCTCATTTTTATGTTTCCTGAAGGCAATATATTATTGAATTAAAATTTTTAATCTGCTATCCATTTCTGTTTTATGGGTAAATTCTTCCCATTCACATTCTAACATACAATTACTTGTGTATTTTCCTCCTTCCTATTTTTCCTTACTCTCCTCATCTTATTTATTCTATCCCTCCTCATTCCTCTGCTTTACTTCTTCCCAATACCTTGCCCTCCTAGTCCTTAACCTACCCACCCACCTAAAAGTTCTTCCTTTATCCTCTTCCCCCCACCCTATCCCCTTGCCCTTTTATTTCTTTCTGAATTTAGAAGACTTTTATACACTTCTAGATATATATGTTGTTCCCTCTTTAACCCATTCCTAATGAAAGTAACATTCCAGCACTACCTGCCTTCCCCCACTAGCTTCTTCTGTATCAACTTTTTCTTTTATGCCTCATTTGTATGAGATAATTACTCCTTTTTATCTCTCCCTACAGTTTTTTTTAGAATCACCCCATCATATTCAGCTCAGCACATACCTTTCTTTCAAACTACCCAAATAATGATGACAATCGTAAGAGTACTGCTGATATTTTCACATACATGAAGTAAACTATTTGAGTCCCTTATAATTGGTCTTTAATGTTTACCTTATATTTCTCCTGGATATTATATGTCAAATTTTCCCTTAAGTTCTAAGGTTTTTGTCACAAAATCCTGAAAGTTTTGAGTTTCTTAAATGTCCTTTTTTTTTTTTTTAAATTCAGGATTATACTTAACTTTTCTGGGCAAGTTACCCATGGTTGTAACCCCAGCTCTTCTGCTCTATGGTATATAGTATTCTAAGACCTACAGTCTTTCAGTGTAGTAGCTCCCAATGTAGTGTGTTCCTTATTATAGCTCCATGATATTTAAATTGTTTTTTTCTTGTTGCTTCCAATATTTTCTCCTTAACCTAGGAGCTCTGAAATGTGGCTATGATATTCCTGTAGTTTTCCTCCTGGGATGTCTGTCAGGTGGTGATTGGTGGATTTTTTCTATTTCTACTTTGCCTTTTTGTTCTAGAACTTCAGGGCAGCTTTCCTTGATAATTTCTTGTAATATCATATCAAGATCCTTTTTTTTAATCATAATTTTCAGGTAGTCCAACTATTCTTATATTATTTCTCCTCAATCTGTTCTCCAGATCAGTTGTTCCAATTTTTCCTCAATCTCTCTTATTTGATTTTAAAACTCTTTTTAAGTTCTTCTAAAAACTCTTTTTGTGCATGGGACCATTTGACATTTCTCATTGAAAAAGGAGTGATTTTTTTTTTTATGAACCTAGATCTTCTCTATCCCCATAGTAACTATCTGTGATTGGGTTCTTTCTCTTTTGTTACTCATTTCTATTTATTTATTGTTTTATTTTGTTTTTGGCAGCTGTTACCATAATCAAGTTGTACTTCTGAGGTATAGGGAATGATGCCCCAAGCCTCAGATCCTTCTTACTGTTATTTTCTGAGGTCTGTCTCAGAGCCCAACCTTGAGCTCTCCTCTCCACTCCTAAGCCACAGCTAGGACCCCCAGTCACATTGTCCCACAGATGGTCTTGCTCCCTGTAGTCCCTCCAGTGGCTGCAAACTACAGCTGTCCCCTCTGTCCTGGAAGTGAAACCAGGGACTCTGCTCTCCTGCAAGTGCCCATAGCCAACAGAGTCCCTGCCCCTCGCTACTGCACTCACCAGATGTGTGCTAGCTCCTTCCTGTGGCCACAACTGGGGATGAGTCTGGTCAGTAAAGCTGTGCTTGGCATCCCTCTACAGTGGAAGGTGCTTCAAGTCCTTCAATCTTCTTCTACTCAGCCATCAGACCTCCACTCTGTCTTTGAGATGAAAATTTTTAAGGCTGAGCCTACCTCTCAACTCAGCTGGGTTCTCAGGGCCTGTTGTTAATTGATTCTGCAGAGTCAGCCTGGAGGTGTTTTCACTTCACTCAGACCAAACCCCCGCCCCTGGAGGTCAAGTATTCCCTGGGGTCTTAGGAAGACAACTGCTTTACCCTGTGTTTATTTCTGCTGCTCTGAGGCAATGTTCTGTCTTTTTTTGTGGAGGAAATTTGGAGAGCTAAAAGTTTTTTTACCTACTCCGCCATGTTCCCAGAATCCTCTCTTATATTTTGTCTTTCAAAAAGAAGTTCTGAGGAATAAAATGTATTTCTGATAATGTAGACATTTTAAATAGTTACTTTTTTCCTCCTATACCTACAGTGGATCCAAGGATTATTCATGAAAATATGAAAGAAAAGGAAAGAATCCAAAGAGTGACACGGGAGACTTTTGGGGATTATGTCCAACCAAGAATAGAATTTGCACAATATAAGGTAGAGATTGTCTGTAATATTAACTTTAAGTTATAACAGTTTTTAAAAATGCTAAAGTGGAAAACCTAAGTATTTTAGTACAAAACTAATAAATGGATGGGGACAGCTAGATGGCTCAGGGCATAGGGCGCTGGGCCTAGAGTTCGGCAAGACCTGAGTTCAGATCAGGCCTCAGACATTTACTAGCTATGTGACCCTGGGCATATCACTTAACATCTGTTTGCCTTAATGCACTGGAGAAGGATATGGCAAACCATTCCAGTATCCTGCCAAGAAAACTGTGGAAAGTAGGGTCTGTGGAGTCACAAAGAGTTGGACATGACTAAACAGCTAAACAATAAATGGACAGCTCTTTTTCTCACTGGGTCACTTGAAATTTTTTACAAAACACTTGTAACCATGAGAGACCTTATTTTGCACTTGTAAATGAGTTATATTGTTATCAAATATAAAGTAATCTTTACTTTTCACTGTTAACATATATATGCTGTACTTTTTACAGGATAATATTTGAAAAGATTTAATAAGTTATTCCTTCCTAATCATTTTACTCAATTGTTCAGAGTGTATGGTCAAAGTTCTATGAGCTAATTAGTATCATAGAATTACAATTGGAAGGGATCTCTGAAGTCATCTGGTCCAATCCACATATGAATAAGAAGCCACTATATAATATACTCAAGTAAGTGGTCAACCAGCCTTTGCCTGAAGAAGTGAGGGAAGCTCACTATGTCCCAAAGCAGATCATTTTACTTTGAATAGCTCTTATTGTTAGGAAGCTCTTCCTCCCAATAGATCTCTACATACCTGTTCTTAGTTTCTGCTGAATGCTGCTATTTGTGCCACCTGTGGCCAAGAAAAACAAGTCTAGTCTTTGTCCTCCATCACAGCCCTTCTTCAGGAACTTGAAGACAGCTATCGTGTAGACCCTAAATCTTCTCTTCTCCAGTCTTAACTGGCTTGTTTTGCCTGCCCCATCACACTGTCCCTTCATGAAAGTCTTGTTCTGTTGCCTCACTGTGACAGAAATGACCCTTCTTTTTGAAGAATATTCCAACAGAGTAAAAGTTCTAACAGGTCTTAACCCTGGCTGAAAGGTATTTTATTATGGCTCCAGGAATGGATGGAATGTATGTTGCCTGAGGACAGGCCAAATTAAGTTTGGAGAGTCTCATCACCAAATTGGTGAGGGTGATTAATTTTTTAGCCACCATAGCTCTGAATGACCATCTGCTTAGTTATAGAGTGGTTGTGATCTTTGTCAGTGGAGGAAATAACCATCCTCTTGAAAGTATAGATCCTTGAAATAATGAGATATAAGTCAAATTATTGATTCATATTGAGTTGGAAATCCACTAAAACCCCCTAGGTTTTCCCACATGAACTCTTGTCTAGCCATGCCTTCTTGTAATTCCACAACTTATTTTTTGAACCTAAATGTAGCACTTTATGTTCACCCATGTTTAATTTAATTTTATTAGATTTAGCCCAATATTTTAACTTTATGAAAGTTTTACTAAAATTACTAGCAATAGGACCAAGGACCCTCTGCTAGAAATCTTCAGATTGACTTAGCTCCATAAAATCACTAGTCTTTCAGTCTGACCATTTTACCATTTCTAAATTCATTAACTGTGTTGTCATCTTGCCCACATGTCTCCATATTGTCCCCCAGGATAATTTGAGAGACTGTGTTAAATGTGTTGCTGAAATCCATGTATACTATCTCAATGGAATTTCCCAGACTACCAGTTTAATAACTGACAGAAAGGAATTAAGGTTTCTTTTACAAAAGAATATTTAAATAGCATATTAAACTAAAAATAAGTTTCATTATACTGCCTTTTCTTAGCAAGCTTACAAGATTCTACTTACAAAACACACACACAACTCTAAGATAAAACACCTCTTATGTACAATATGGCATATATTTTATGCTTACCATTCAGCTCCAACTTTTCAAGTATTTTTTCTATTAAAATTACCCATATTTGGAAATTGTTGATGCTCAAAACAATAGCATACAAACAAGTGCTTAACGAATAACATTAGTAGAACATGAGATTTTTTTACATTAAAATGACATCCAAAAGTATGTTAATTTTTTTCATCAAGTATATAAATATTCTACTATTGTGCTTTAAGGAATGATAGGCAGGATGATTTCAGAAAAATTTGGGAAGACTTATGTGAACTGATACAAAGTGAAGTGAGCAGAATCAGAACATTATACACAGTAGCAGCAATATTGTATGATGATCAGCAGTGAACGACTTAACTATTCTGATCCATCCAAGACATTTCTGAAGGACTTATGATGAAAAATGCTATCCACCTCCAGAGAAAGAACTTATGGAGTCTATATACAGATAGAAGCATACTTTTTTATTTTTCTTGTTTGTTTGTTTGTTTTGGTCTGTTTTCTTTTGCAACATGGCTAATATGAAAATATGTGTTGTATGACTTCATATGTATAATCTATATCAAATTGTTTGCCCGGTGAAGGAGGGGCAAAAGGAGGGAGGGAGAGCATTTGGGATTCAAATTTTTAAAAAACAAATGTTTAAAAATGTTTAAAAAAATTTTTACATGTAATTGAGAAAAAATAAAAAGGATGTATTCAGTAGTCAGTAGTTATTTAGTTCTCATTGGTATAAGAAACTCCTTCTCTACCACTGCAGATTGGCACCTGCTCTGCAGTGAGCTTGGGGCACTGAGAGTGAAATTATTTGCCTAAGATCACGTAGCAAATAGTATCAAAGGGAAGACTTGAATTTTTCTGACTGAGGCCAATTCTTGATCCATTTGTTTTCTCAACCTGTTTATAATAGTCTTTTTAAAATGTGCTCATATATTTACCTCTTTATTGACAGCTTGAAACCAAATTCAAAACTGACCCTAAAAATGGCATCTTGGCTGAAAGGGAAGAACCCTTCAGATGCCTAGTTAAGTTCTCTAGTCCACATCTTTTGGAAGCATTGAAATCTTTAGCACCAGCTGGTAAGTATTTAGTTTCTATAACAAAATTTAAGTTTATTTTATGGTAATGATGCAAGGTAATTTTTCTGGCCAATAATCTCTACAGGCTTTCTCACTGCTCCTGTCTGATAGCCTGCAGTATCCTATTTTTTTATATTCTATTGCAGCTGTTCATAATTTGTAATATGAATGAGGGGCTCCGTAATCTACCCTCAGATCTTTACCTTTGAAGTCTGAGTGAAACCTTTGGCCCACAGTCACTTCAATTTTCTTTTCTTTATTTCAGGTATTGCAGATGCACCGCTTTCATCACTGCTTACTTGTATACCCCACAAAGCAATGAATTATTTCACAATTAGAGAGAAATAAGTTTTATTTGGAGTAAACATAAGTCCCTTGTCTTATGTTCTAAAACATTTCATTTCTCTTATACATGTACCTCTCCTGTCTATGTACTAATATTTCAATAAGAATCCACTGAGAAAACACCACTTGCATTCTTAATGAGCTTGCTTCTTCTCTCTCAGAAAACCAGACAAATTGTTCTCCCGACATGAGAGTGTATGCAGGTAGGTTTGGCTCCAGCACTGGTCCTGTAGTAGTCCTGTAGTAGTGCCCTAAATGGCCTGACATGAAGAGGGTTGTGAAATAGCCACTTCTATTATGTGTCCTAATAAGCAACAACTGCCATAGTTTCTCCCCCCTGTCCAACTCTTGGTTTTGTAGTCTTGGCTTAAAGAGCAAATCACCAAAATATCAACAAGTACTGCATAAACTTTATAGGAAGGACATAAAATTGTTCTACAAATCAGGCCCATTACATACTCGTATCATCACATTCCTTTTCATGTGACATAAGCTATTCACAGAAACATGCATGAACAATGAATGGTTTAATTGGAACATACTTCTCTTAATTTTATGTTTTTATCACACTTACAATTCATTCAAATCATTGTGTGCCAAACTATAGCTTATAAATAAAGATGTGAAAAAAACTAAATAAATCAATGATCTTAATTAAAATTCTATGGTTCACATGACTGAAAAACATAATTTTGTGGAAAAGTTTGTTTTAGTCCGTAAGACACAGACGTTTGTATTGACAAAGCAAGTAATACATGTTTACTGAATGAATTATTAAAGTAGGTACTGTCGGTAAAACAGCAACATTTGTCTTAGATAAATTATAACTTGGGGTAATACATTTTTCCAAGGCTACCAGTGATGACTTAACTGATGGCATTTTCTCAGTCCTTTAAGACCTTCTTCATCTCTGTGGAAGGAATTTGGCACTGTTAACTATTTCTTCCTGTTTACTATCTCCTTGAAATTGTTCTGCTGGTTCTCCTGTCTGCATGACTACTCTTCAGTCTCCTTGATTAGGTCATCATCCATGATCAAAGACTCTGTCCAGGGTCCTCTTCTCTTTATATACCCTCCATCTTGATTGTCTCATTAGCTTTCTTTCATGTGTTTATTGATCATCTCTACGAAAATGAACTCTGTGTTTATTGGTCCAGCTTTAATTTCTACTGAGTTCCACATTATTGAACATCTCCTTTAAGCATCACTGATACAAAACTTGTCCAAAACAAAACTCATTTTCTTCCCCTACCCCCTCCAAACTTGCCCTTCGTGGTACTACCACCCTTCTAGTTATCCACATTCAAAACCTTGTAATCATCCTCAACTCTTCCCTCTCCTTCACATTGTTATGAGGATCAAGTGAGATAATATTTTTTTAAAATCCCATAGCACAGTGTCTGGTCAAGAGTAGGTACTCTAAAAATACTTATTCCTTTCTCTTCCTCACCCTTCCATCACTGTCTAGTCAGTTGCCAAATTGTTAATTGTAATTTCATAACATCTTTTGTGTCTCTTCCTTTCCTCTGCTAACATGAATTCCACTTTAGTTTAGGCCAGGCCTGTACAACTTGTGGCCAGGAGGCCACTTGTGGCATGGCAAAGGATTTTCTCTACATGCAAAGGATGTTTTCCTCTACATTTTTCTCGGGCTGCCTGAAATCCTTTGTTGTGCCACAAGCAGCCCTAGGGCCACAGGTTGTACAGGCCTGGTTTAGGCCCTCATCACTTCTTGCTTCAACTATTGGGATTGCCTTCTGATCAGTCTCCTCCCCAATCTATCCTCCACACTGCTGCGAAAATAGTCTTCTGAAGATAAATGCCTGACAATATTCTTCTCTAGCTCAAAAACTTTCAGTGGCTTCCTTCTTACCTCTAGGATGAAATACAGACTCCACAGCATAACACTGAAAGGCCTTCACAGTCTGCCTCCAACCTATGTCTCTAAGCTTCTTACTATATTCCACTCAGACTGACCTTGCTGCTGTTCCCAACATCTCATCCCCTACCTGAGTGTCTTTGCACAGGTTGTCTGTGCTCATAAACCTGATATGCACCCCAGCCTCGCCTCCACTTTGTACAATCCCTAGTTTTTTGGTTTTTGTTTTTCGTTTTTAAGGCAAGGCTCAGCCGGTGTGGTACTTCCTATGGGAAACCTTTATGAATCCCCCTCATTTTTAGCGCTCTCAAACTCTTCAAACTATCTGATATTATTTATATGTGCAAATGTTGTATCCATCAGTAGAATTTTAAGTTCTTTAAGGGTAGGACTGTTTTTCTTTTCTTTTCTTTTCTTTTTTTTGTCTTTTGGTCCCCAGCAACTAGCACTTTACCTAACACATAGTAGAGCTTAATAAATGTTTGTTGAAATGAATCGGTTCAGATCAATAAGCATTTATTAAGTGCTATTATGTTTCCAGGGATTCTGCTAGGGGTCTAGGGCTACAAAGACAAAAGCTAAACAGTCCATGGCCTCAAGAAGCTTAAATTGCAAGGGTGGGATGGGGTGGGGAAGAGAAGTGGAATAGGACATGTGCACAGAAAACTATATACAAATATAGAGAAGAAGTGCAGCTGGGGGGGGGGTCAGGTAAATTTCTTGGAAGAGGAGTCACTTGGGCTGAATTTTGAAGGAAGTTAGAAATTCTAAAGGGTAGATGTGAGGGGTGAGTGCATGGAAACAGTAGATAAAATGTTGCATTTAGTGAGCAGCAAGTAGGCCAATTTAACAAAAATACAGAGTTTGTGAAGAACAGAAGTGTATAAATAAACCTGGGAAGGTAGGCAGAAGTCAGATTGTGGTGGGCTTTAACTGCCAAAGAAGGATTTGTATTATCTGGAGACAAGAGGAACAACTCAGTCAGATCTGAGATTCAGGAATATAAATTTGATAGCTTTGTGGAGAATGGATTGGAGAGAAGGGTCTGGGAGACCAATTAAGAAGCTGGGATAATCAGAAAAGAGGTTATAACCTGCTTAAAGTGGAGTAGTGGCTGTGTGTCAGGTTACAAACCTGGGTGATAAAGGATACTGAAGCCTTTAACAGAAACAGAGAAGTTAGGAAGAGGGGAGGTTTTAGAAATAAAGTTTTATTGTGGAAGTGTGGAATTTGAGATGACTATGGACAGCCGGTTAAAAGTACTGAATAGCAGTTGGTAATGTAATTCAGGAGAGATTGTGGCTGGATGTAGCATTGGGAGTCTTATGCGTAAACATTATGGTTGAACTCATGGAAGCTAAGGAGATAACCAAGAAAGATAGACCTGGGATAGAGTCCTGGAGAATATACCTGTAAGGATAGGCATTAGGATAGGCGTGAAGGAGTGGTCAGACAGCCTAACTAGGAGTACTCAGTGGGGGAGACCCTGTCTAGGATGACACAGAGGCTAATGTTATCAAATACTGCAGAGAAGTCAAAGACAAGAACTGAGAAAAAGGCCAAGGATTTGGCAATCAGTACACCATTGGTAACCTTGGAGAAAGCAATTTTAGCTGAGAGATGAGGTTAGAAACCAGATTGCAAGGAGTTGAAAAGTGACTAAAGTAAAAAAATGGTGGCAACAAGTATAGACAGCTTTTTCTAGTAGTTTGGGGGGGGGGTGAAAGCAGGGAGAAGGAAAGGATAGTAGTTTAAGGTGATAGTAGATGAAGTGATGGATTTTTAGAAATGGGAGAGAACATTTGGGCATGTTTGTAAGTAGGGAAGACTATGTGTCTTACACTGCAGTTTAGTAGTCTGTGCTTAGATTGTTTTGGGTTTTAGTCCATACCCATGATTTTATCAGTGTAGGAGCTCTCTCCACATATGCATATCTAATCTGCAATTTATAGCCTTAGCTGCCTGGAAGCACTGAAAGGTTAAGTAACTCACCTTGATCATATAGCCAATATGTCAAAAGTAGGACTTGGTGATTTGGTTGGAAAAGCACTGGCTGTGGAGTCAGAGGACCTGAGTCCAAATGCTACCTCTGATTCTTACTATTTGTACAACCCTGGATAAGTCATGTGGACTAGATGGTTACTGAGGTCTCTTTTAGTTCTTAACTTATGATTCTAAGTCTTCCTGTTTCCAAGGCATGCCCTTTATCTATTGTGCCATTCTGCCTCTCAGTTTCAACTACTATTTAAATGAAAATGTTCAAGTTAGAGAAGAGTAAAATTATATTTTGATAGATCTTAGGCATTCATTTTATGTCTCCAAACGCAAAGATGTCCTTTGTTGGTTGGGAGAAACCCTAAGTGTTGCTTTCTAACTAAAATCATATAAATAGTTGTGGGTGGATAATACAGAGATTGGGACTTGAAGATCATTAATTCAAAATCTGTTCCAGTGGGTCTTTGGTTGCGTTAATAAAAAGGCTGAATTTGTCATCATATATGAGTGCATAATCACAATGCCATAGCCATATCCTAGGCCTATGATGTTTTTGTTATTGCCCTTATAGTATCATGGCATGGCCCATATAACAAGCTGATGCCTCAGGCAGACAAATGTTAATGTATTATAAACCAAAATGTCAAGTTGTTATGCTCAGAAGTAACCGACTTGAACAAAGAGTAAAAATACAGGGGTGGGGAACCTGCAGTCTCGAGGCCACAAGTGGCCCTCTAGGTCCTCAAGTGCAGCCCTTTGACTGAATCTAAACTTCACAGAACAAATTCGCTTAATAAAAGGATTTGTTCTGTAAAGCTTGGACTTGGTCAAAAGGTCACACCCAAGGACTTAGAAGGCCACTTGTGGCCTCGAGGCCACAGGTTCCCCTACCCTAGTGTAGTAGCTTCCATGGCATAGAGAAAAAATGTCTGGATTTTAAACAGAGGATCAGGATTCAAATCCTGTCTCCGCTACTTCCTACTTTTGTGACCTTGGGCACAAGTACCTTACCCTCTCTGAGCCTCAGTTCTTCATCTGTAAAATGAAGGTGTTGGACAAGGTGGCCACTAAGGTTCCTTCTAGATGTATGATCTGTGATTTCTGTAGCACTCCAAGGTTTACAAGGTGTTTTCTTCACAATCCTGAGATAGACTGAACAAATACTATTGCCTCTCATTTTTAAAAAGTGTTTTTTCACTTTCCTTTTTTTATGTCACTTCTTCCTCCCCCACCCCAGCCTTCTCTTGTAAG